ACAGACAGACAGACAGACAGACAGACAGACAGACAGACAGACAGACAGACAGACACTCACATTCATAGAGAAATGGAGAAGGAGGGGGCTTGGGGTCCAACTGAATCTGACAGACTGATCGATCACGCACTGGGTACCGTACACCAAATCTCACCGGTGACCACCGATTGTCAGCGCTAAAACGCCACGACAACTTCTGCGATCGACTACGCATCGCGCCGCTAAATCAGAGCCTGCACATGTTGGGGTTTGTCCGAGTCAGAAGTCGAACGGGGCCGTTATTTGGCATCAAAAGTCATTAAGAAATATTGCTCAGTGGGATTTGGTCATTGAATGATGTCCCAGTGAGCAACGTTTTCGACGTTATCACATGATGTGCACGCCCTAAATGTGGATATCATAAAGAATAATTATAGAAATTGGGAACTACAGTTAACGTGGGACACAAAACAAAGACGTAACGCCGTGGTTTTTGAAGAGCACAAAAGGGAAACCCCACAAAAGGGAGATCCCACAGTGCTCAATGGGTGTTCATCAGTCGCTTGTCGCCCTTTTTCCCATTTCGAAACGAGTGCAGCAACACCCAGGTTGTAATGGGTACAACTATAGAGTATAGCGCTAGATGATTGTGATATTGGACCCAGGACTATTGCGAGGGGTTCATCAGTTCAATGATTTGTAGCTGACGCCCCCCCCCCCCTTCCCTCCCCGTCCCTGTCGATGCAGCTGTGTTACAATTCGCAATACTTTGTTTGTTACAGTGTAACTTACAGCTTAATTTTTTTTTAATGAATGCTATTTTGTTCAACAGGGGGAGAGGAGGGGGACAAAAAATCATCATTTACTTTTGAGAAATGATGTTTCATGGGAAGATAAGTTTCTAATTTACCTCGAGCATTAACCAATAAAAAGATTTCTGTATTTTTTTAAGGCTGGCATTTTGCCTTTCATTTTTGGGATTTAAGTTTTTGAGCTGAGTGTGTATAACTTCTCATTTTACTACAGTTTGATCAGGATCATTTCAGAGGCGATGCCTGCGTCTTAAACTGATATCAAGTGCGAGTATTGAAAATAGGACAAGGTATTCTATATTGCGAGACAGAATATTCTTAACGGTTGCACCATTGCTCCATAATATTACTGGAATTATATGTCTCAGCGTGTGTTTGGTCAGGAAGCTATAGTATCCGACTTTGGTATCATTATCAGTCTCGTTGTCAAAGGGTGTGTGTGTGGGGGAGGGGGGGGGGGGCTAACATTACCAAAGCACAACAAACAACAACAATGTATGCCAATCGAAGGGGCGAAAAACTGGGATCAAGAACAGACATCCACAGTGGAGATGCCGAGAAAAGACTGAACATTGGTCTTTTATAGTCCAAAAATTGCATTCGAATAGATTAAGGTCAAGACGATGGAAAAGATTGCGACAACGGCCCAAGCAAATGAAATGGAAAGCAGAATGGCGGGCTGGTCTTCACGAAAAAAAAATCACAAGAATTGAATAGGAACGAAACAAGGAGATTCGCTGCCATCTTTGATTACACTAGACCCTTAATTTGGCCTTGGAAACAAAAAGTGCTAAAATCAATTTAAAGATAAAAAAAGATTGCGTGCTCTGAGAAAGTATTGCTTGTACTGGGCCTTTCTGAGAACGATCTATTTAAATTTATTCACTGTTAAGTGGATTTCTCAACACTATGTGTTTAATAGAATGTAAAACAATGTTTTTTCTTCCTCATTATTTTCGTTCCGAATCCCATGACTTTAGA